ACTTATGGATTGATTGTTACTTATTGATTTTTGCATGCCTACTTCTTTAAAGATCTAGTCTTACTATTGCTGATTGCAGGGCTTACATGTGATTCCCAAGAAAAGGGCTGGGTGTCACTTCAATCCTTTAGTTGTGCTTGTGAAGACAGGAAGCAACACTGTTGCCAGTATGTTATCTTTGTGGAAGGAGGACCATAGTATACTTTCAATTAACTTCCTGTATTAAGGAGTTCAAAGTATACACATTAATACCAAGCAGCAACTGGATGTGGAGAAGAGGATAGTTAAGTATCCCAGATTGATGAAAAGGGTGCGATTCTCCTCAAATTTCCCCTTTCAGAACATGAGGAAAGTGGCCAATTTTCTGTTGAAAATTCTCAGATGTTGTGTGACAGAGTGTGACAGCTTGGGGAGTGAAGCCATGTCTTCATTAAGAATAGCTATTGAACCTCTATTTCTTCTCTCTCTGAAAAGATTTGATGGCACAGGGCATAGAAAACCACAGAGTAAAGACTTGGTTCTTATTCTTAGGTTCACAATATATGATGGGCAAAATGCAGCCATTAGATGAACTGAAACTTAAGCTGATATTTACTTTTAAAGCTACGGGGCGGGACGTTTCAAGAATTTGAAGAAATTTTATAAAAACATTTTTCAAAAAAGAAACCTCAAATTTCCTTTTAGCCTCCAAAATGGTTGAAATTGCAAGATCATATTAATGACCATTGCTGAAAAATTATAGATCGGCAATATAAATTTGAATGTTTAAAACTGTAACCACTTTGGAATTTACAGAAGCTAAGCAGTCACTCTTTTCTAACAATATTGGGACTAAAGGAGGAATTAAGAATAGAAGTAATGTATATTTAAAAGAGCAACGAAAGTATATGAATAGCACATACCCACACTAATAAGATGCAGCCCAAACTACAGCTGTTCCAGGTCCTGTACATTTCCATATGCATTTTAGAATTAACTTGACAAATATCTATAAAGCTGCGGCTTTACATGAGTTTATAAAAACAAAATGAAAAAGATGAAGTAAATGAACTAAACACTTAAATTACTATTTTAGAAAAAGAAAAACCATTTATTCAAATGTATCTTCATTTACCTTTGTTAATTTCTTCCTTTTATTGTTGCTTTTGCTATGAAAAAAAGCCCGCTGGGATTCTCATTGGGATTACCATCAAATCTAATTCATATCTTAACAATATGGAAGAAAAAGGCAGAGTCTTCCCCAGAAGCCCCCAGCTTCTCCTCTAGTCTCAGGCCTGAATTAGGTATCCTGTCCTGCTCGTCACTGAACCTGTCTCTGTACCTGGAAAGATGGGGACCACTCTTGGACCTGGAGATGGCACACCACAGCCTCACAATTGTAGGGCCGTAAGGAATAGGAAAGGGCAAAATGAATACTTGGGTGATAACAAACACTAAGTCACTGCATAAGACATTAATCTAACGATGGAGCTGCTGGGGAAGAGTGCCAGGGGTTTCCTAATTGTCTGTTCATCCAGCCACTCAGCTATCCACGCAGCCATCTATCCACCCAAGAAATTTACTGGACACTTACTGGGTAACATTCACTATTCTAAGTACTGGGTTTATGGGAATGAAGAAGACACACAAGATCTTTCCTTTCAAGGAATTTTTATTATAAAAGAAGATACAGAAGACAAAATCGAAAACAAGTAGGTAAGGCAATTGCAGCTCCTGATATGAGTGAGGGAGAAAGTAAAGCAAGTTGGTGTGAAAAGCTGAGAGGAGAGCTGCTCTGGACAGGGAGCTCAGGAAGCACACCCCTCAGGAGTTCCTGTCAGTGAGCCCCAAATGATGGGCTGCTGCTTGAATTAGAAGGAAGTGCTTTCTCAGCATGGGGACAGCGCATACAGCAGCCTCTGTGTGACAACCAGTTTATGGTATTCTTGAACCTGAAAGGAGATAGCTCTGGAGACTGTGTCTCGACAGTGACATGAGAGGAGATGAGAAAGGTGGTCAGGGGCCAAATCATCCAGGAGCTTGTGGTCCCCAAAGAAGCATTATTACATTTTAGTCTAAATGCTAGAAGAAGCATTATGAGCAGCGGAAGATTATAAGCAGGATTTATATTTTTAAGGTATCCCTCTCGCTGTCATACAGAAAGGGAATTCAGAGTTTGTGAACTGGTCCAAGCAAGTGATGCTGGTGGCTTGAGCTCCAGGTGTTGCGATAAACATAGAGACCACTAGTTTCAAGAGATGCTTTGGTTTAGACACTGCTGGGCTTGTTGATTAGGTGGATGACATATATTTGGATTTGGGGTGGGACGGTGACCACAGATGAAACGAACTGGGTTCTGTGCAAAATTCTGTTGAAATCTGCAGAAATTTTAGGATATAAGAATATACGATGAGACAGCCACCAGAAGTGAGTGTAGAGAACAATTACTCATTAAATGATACTGGCAGCCCAGCTCAGCAATTGTAGGGGGCAGGAAACTTCATTTTATTTTATTTTATTTTAACATTTTTTGTTTGTTTTTTAAGTTTTATTTATTTAAGTAATCTCTATACCCAATGTGGGGCTCAAACTCATGACCGCGAGATCAAGATTTTATTTATTTGACAGAGAGAGCACAAGCAAGGGAAGCATCAGGCAGAGGCAGAAGGAGAGGCAGGCTCCTTTCTGAGCAGGGAGCCCGATGTGGGACTCGATCCCAGGATCCTAGGATCATGACCTGAGCCGAAGGCAGACGCTTAACGACTGAGCCACCCAGGCGTCCCAGGAAATTTCACTTTTAAATCTATACCTTAAATAACATGTCAAAATTAATTCTTGGTGATTTTAGAGTGAGAAATTTTAAAAATAAGAAATACCCTCATGGGGCGCCTAGGTGGCTCAGTGGGTTCAGCATCTGCTTTTGGCTCGGGTGATGATCCCAGTGGTCCTGGGGTCAAGCCCCACATTGGGCTCTCTGCTCAGCAGGGAGTCTGCTTCTCCCTCTCCCTCTGTCTGAAACTCCCCCTGCTTGTGCTCTCTCTCTCTCAAAAAAAAACTAAAATTAAAAAAATAAAAAAGAAATACCCCGAATATCACAATTTTGGAGCATACTTAATTTTCTAATCTTAGAAAAGATGTTTTTATTAAAAACATCTTTAAGGATGTTTTTAAAAGATGTTTTAATTACTGAGGAAAAGAGACAAATTTGACTATAAGAAATAGAAAACTTGTGGGGCGCCTGGGTGGCTCAGTCGTTAAACATCTGCCTTTGGCTCAGGTCACGGTCCCAGGGTCCTGGGATCGAGCCCCACGTCAGGCTCCCTGCTTGGTGGGAAGCCTGCTTCTCCCTCTCCCACTCCCCCTGCTTGTGTTCCCTCTCTGGCTGTCTCTCTCTCTGTCAAATAAAATCTTTAAAAAAAAAAAGAAATCGAAAACTTGTATAATCCAAAAAGCATCAAACCAAAATGAAATACATGGGTGGAGTAAGGACTACTCATAGCAAATATCATATGTCAAATAAGGGAGTAATACGATAAGTGATAACAAACAAAATTGTTCATAAAAGAAGACTGCATCTGTAAAACAAAGATGTAAATTACTATTAAGTCAAACAACTCAAAACAAAAGCAAACCCATGAGTCCCCTTTTTGCCTAAGGAATATTTTTAAAACAATAAAATCTAATACTGCTGAAAGTATCAACTGTGGTGATGTAAATGGATTTACTCCTTTGGGAACAAAATTTACCCATAGGAATCAAAGACTACAAAAATATTGGTATCTTTTACCACAACCTGAGATTTGCCTCAGGTTTTTCTGGCCTGTTCTCTTCCACACCTCTCCAGCCAATCCAATGGAAATATCTGTGGATTTGAAATTCTCTGCATTTCTGACTTCATCATTTAAAATTGAATATCCGTGGGGGCTCCTCGGTGGCACAGTCCGTTAAGCATCCAACTCTTGGTTTCAGCTCTGGTCCTGATCTTGGGGTGGTGAGATCAAGCCCCATGTGGGGCTCTGCACTTAGGGCAGAGTCTGCTTAGGATTCTCTCCATCTCCCTCTGCCCACCCCCCTCTCCCCCTCCTCCCCTTGCGTGCACGTGCATGCTCTCGCCCTCTCTCTCAAATAAATGAATCTTAAAATAAATAAATAAATAAAAGTGAATATCTATGCAAAATGTATGTAAAATCAGGAGAGGAATACTTAACTTTGAGAGAGGTTGTTATTTCAGTCTGATACGTTAAGAAATGGTATGTTGCCTTGATTTGCATTTTAAAAATTAAGGAATGAACATTTTTCATGTTCATTACCATTTGCATTTCTTTTTCAAAATCAACTATTCATTTAAATTGGATATTAAAAATGGATAAAACCTTATTGTTAGTTACTACCAACTTGATTATTGAACATTAATCTTTTGTAATACATATTTTAATGCATCTATTTTGCTTAAAATGAGCCTTCTTAACTGTTACTACAGATTCTTAAATTGATATCTGGGACAAGTCAATTGCTTGCAAGAGACATCTTCAGCATTCAGGAGTTGCTAAATTCTGATTGGTTGAATTTGCATATGATTTGACTGGTCCTCACATCTGCTTAGTGACACACACAAGGGCAGGCTGGAGGGTTGTGGTTTTTTTCTTTACATAGAATGTAATAAGCTTTATTTGTTCTCACTATATAGCTGATAATCTCCAGTTTAGTAGGTTTTGCAGATGAGATGCTCTAATGTTGCACAAAGTATGGCTGAAAACACACATATTTATTTTTATTTATTTATTTTTTAAAACAAGAAGTTTATTTTAACAACAAGATGCTTGACTTGAAGGGAAAACTATCTAGGATTCATTTCTTTTAGAGTAATTTATCCCTACTTAAAGACAGATTGCCCTACATGTAACAGCTCCGTACAAAAAAGTTATAAAATTGTCCTTGGTTTTACAATGATAAATGAAAAACATTAAAATTTTCCAATCGAACAAGGTATGCAAGGATTTTTATGTTGTTCTTTTTTTGTTAAACAGTGAGAGCAAAATAACTTACTGGAATATAAAGATAAGAGCTGACTGAACATGCCCCTAATGGAGAGAGGGGTATTTTCACAGAAGCAGTATTTTCCCCCACCCCATCTCCATTTGATGTCAATCAAAACATACCATTGGCCATTTAGTTTAAAAAATGCAATATGTTTGTGCACATACAGTTACTTTATGTACAATAAAGGAATGGGGAAGGGGAAAATGAAAGAATAGAGAAAACTATACTGTAGTAGTCAGCATGTGGTGGAACCAAATTGCAGCTTTCTAATTGAGAATGTCTTCTTGGTCTGGAGGAATAGAGTTCTGGAGTAAAGTAGCAGGTTCCCTTTTTAGTAGACACCTCCTGTCTGCTGCTGGAACACATCAATTGTGTCTTCAGCCTCCATTTCCAACTGTGCAGGTGTGTCTGTTTCATTGATTGGCTGCCCATCAAATCGGAATCTGATCTGCCTCATTGACAAACCCTGTTGTTCACAATAGACTTTCATTAGTTTACTAAGTGGTGTATGCCTCTTAATCTTAAACTGCACCACAGAACCATCCTGCCCCGCCACCTTCAAATTAATATGATCGTTGTTCTCAGTCTTGACTCCTTCCTTGGGCTTTTCGTCGGCCATGGCGAGCACTGGAGTCTCCTCAGCTGCTGCTTCACATAAAACGTACCAGGTCCGCACCGAACAAGCACACAAGCAGCACCAGGAGCAGCAGAAACAACGCCTTATATTGTAGAATTCTCCAAATCCTCACTGGTATGAATAAAGTAGGAGTTGATTATTTTCCAGTGTTTCCTGTTTCACATTCCCTAGTTGGCCTGAGAGGTTGTGGGCTTGAGGTCTTATAGCACTTGGTTTATCTATTAACCAAGATGCTTTAGAACAAGACAACAACCCAAGGCCCAGTTGCAAGAACCAAGCCTCGTTGCTTACTTAAATGTCAAAGAACAAGCTAAGAAAGGAAAGTATAGCAGGTAAAGGTCAAGGTGGGAATGAGGCAAGACCATCTGGGTCTACTTCTGTGACCACTTGAGTTGCCTTGTGTTTTTCTTCCTGGATGTTGGCCAAATATCTGAATTGGCTTAGCTCTGGGTAAAGCAAGAGTTGGGGCAGACACTGTGCCACTTGGTTTCACAGGAATATACATGATATATCTTTTTAAGATTTGCACATGGTGCTAGGAATCCTGTTTTGAGAGGTGTTCTCGCAGGAGAGTGGCACAGGATGTGTGGCCAAAGGCTGTCAGGAAACCTAAGTAGGAGACCAGAATGCATTGAAAAGAGGAACTCTCCATGCACCATCATTTACTGGCTAGATGACTCGGCAAATTTTTAAATTTCTCTGTGCTTCAGTTTCCTAGAGATGGTAATTCCTACTTCATAGGTTTGTTGTGAAGATTCAATGAGTTCATTCACGAAAAGTGTTTTTAAAAGTATCTGATACTAGTAAGTGGTCAATAAGTATTAGCATCATCAGAATCGTTGTCTTTAAGAGGGTCACCCAGGTCCATCTATGACAAATCTCTTTCCATTAGTTGAAGTCTTTGAAGGTGGATGTTAGAGATTGTTGGGCTAAAAATTCTCATTCTTTCCCAAGGATTGGATGTGAGAAGAGAAGAGAAGGGGGAAGGGAAAGACATTTTCAATCCTGCCCAAAGGAGGGCCACCTGTAGGGGCAACAAGCCACTGAGACAGACTGTGGAGTGGACTGCTGGAAAATTCCTAATGGGGGAAGGGGGGGGGAGGGGAGGAGTGGCCAAAGAGAGAAAACATTTCACCTGTGTCACAGGAAGCACATGTTCCACTGGTGGTCTCTGAATAAACCATGAAAGTTCCCAAGAAGGAGAATTAATTTTCATCAATTGTCTGGCTCACATGTCATCATATGACAATGACAGGACCAGTCCAGTGAAATTTTGCTGCTCTTTTTCCCCATCTTCTCTCCCAGCTGCTTTGACTTCCGGAATGAGTCAGCAATCCTGATGGTGGGGGCGGGGATGAGGAAGGAGGGGTGGGGATGAAGGGCACGAATAGGCAGGTTCATGCTGCTTCCCCCAGCTTCCTGTCTTCAGAACCCTTCAGAGTTCGGAAAGGAGAATGTTTTACCTTAAAATCATGTTCAAATTTTATGATTATTATATGATATTGCGGACGTTTAGCTACTAAACTTAGACAAGTTTTCTAACTTAAAATGACTGTAAGCCATGTTTTTTTCTTCCTTCCTTCTTTCCTCCCTCTCTTTCTTCCTTCTTTTCTTCCTTCCTTCCTTCCTTCCTTCTTTTCAGAGTTATTAGAAAAAAATCATAGGACTACTTCAGTGCCTGAGTTTTCATCCTGGGGCAGAGGGCAAGTTTCCACATTGAATGCATTTTAACAGGAGAGTAGGAGCCCCAAAAATAAAGATGAGGACAGATTACATGACATAACTTCTCTTTGTTTAATATACTGGTTATTTTTTAAAAGACTTATTTATTTATTTGAGAGAGAGAGGGAGTACTCCCAAGTGGGAGGAGGGGCAGAGGGAGAGACTCTCAAGCAGACTCCCTGCTAAGCAAGGAGCCCAATGTGGGGCTCAATCCCAGGACTCTGAGATCACGACTTGAGCTAAAATCCAGAGTAGGCTGCTTAACCGACTGAACCACCCAGGCGCCCCGAGGATGAAATTTTTTAATGTCACTAAGAAAGAAGGATAATAAACCATGTGAAGACAGCTTCTCTTAACAGGATTATGCACATAAAGCCAATTGTCCACATTTGCACCACGTTATTTTATTCTGGTGTCCCTGCTAGTTTTGAAGGATTTATATTTGACAGATGGTACCTAATGCAGCTTTTTTCCCCCTCACCTATTGTGAAGAGGAAACCGTTGCCAAGATTTCACAATATGAAAATTGCTCCCGTTTCCTAAAGGGCAAAAATGAATCACTTTCTTTCTGGATTCCGAACAAGTTGGGAGGGCTCAGAAAGACATTGCTGTGGTTTACTTGCCAGAGTGCTGACATTCAATGCTGCATGTATTTCTGGGAGAAGATTTCTTGTTGTCTCCCTAGAATAGCCAGCCAGTTCCTAATGTTAAAGTGCTAAAGTTGGAGTCAAGTCATTTTATACTGTATAGATCTCTGTGCATGGAGTTACAAAAATTTAAAGAAAGCGTTTTGCAATGTGTACCAATTATTACTCTTCTACTCCTAATCTTAGCATTGTTAAGGAGTTCTTAGTTCATCTCCTGGTAGTTGAAGAAAGTAATAACTTGTTTTGAAAAAAAAGAGATTGAAACATCAACTCAGCTTATTCTTGTTTTATCCAAATTCTCATTTTTTAAGACCCGTACAAAGTACTGCTTCCTTCAGAAGGCTTTCTTAATTTTCACTTTTAGCAACACATTACTCCTTTGGTATTGACTTTTATTTTCTCTCTAGTCTATTTTGTTCTCTTTGTCTAATTTATGTAGCATTGTCTTCTCAACATGTTTATATGCTTCATAATTTTGACTTAGATATTTATAATATATCTATGATACAGATATCTGTGTACTATATTCTCATAACCTAGTACCATACCATACCAGGCATTTGGTAGGACCTCAGTGAGTCTGATTATGAGAGTGACTGCTTTCTAGGGAATTAGAGTTAATGAGGAAACAGTTATTAATTAAATAGTTAGACTAAGGAAATAGTTCATAAGAACTGTTTGCCCTCTACTTCTGTTAAAGGGTCCCTCTCCCAGCCTCAATTTTGCCCGTTTCGATTCATCTGCCATGTGATGTCAGAGAATTTTTTTAAGCTGCACACCTGATTACACCATGCCTCTGGGTAGTGGCTTCCCATGATCTTCAGGAGAAGAGTCCAAGTGTGTCATTGGCCCCCAGGGCTCTCTGTGATCTGAGTGCTTAGCACTCTCCCAGGTTCCTTCCACTCTTTCCAGCACACGCTTCAGCCCCACCTCAGAGTCCTCCTGCAGGGACCGTACCGGAATTTACCTGGCCTCACTGGCTGTTCCCCCTCTATGAGAGGTTGAATTGTGTCCTCTACCCCCACTCAAATGTTTAAGTCTTACCCCCAGTACCTTCAGAAGGTGGCTTTGTTTGGAAATAGTTTCACTTCATGTGTGATTAAGTGAAGATGAAATCATACCTGAGGACAACAGGCCCCTAATCCAGTGTGACTGGTGTCCTTGGAAAAGGGGAAAATTTGGACACAGACACGCAACCAGAAAGAGCATCATGTGAGGATTGCCTTGACGCTGTCACAAGTCCAGGAACCACCAGAAGCCAGGAGGAAGTGCCTTCAGAGGGAGCACGGCCCTGCCGACACCTTGATTTCAGACTGCAGCTCCCAGAACTATGAAATAATAAAGTTCTATTGTTCCAGCCACCCGGTTTGTGGCTCTTTGTTATGGCAGCCCTAGGAGACTGGGACACCTTCTTTACGCTCAGTGAACTCCTACCCACTGTTCCGTATTTGGTTCAACCGTCTCCTCTTTTGGAAGCTTCTTCTGACATCCCCACCCTCTCCCACTGCTGAATTGGGAGTCCCTTCTGTCTCTTTCTTCACATCTTTTATATTTGACCATTGATTTCTTTGCTTGTGTCTCACCATGATCCGTGTCTTGTTCATCTCTTTGTTACAGCTCCTTGCTTCCATGTCTCAATACATGTTATTGAACAAATGGATTTTTACCTTTTTGATGACTTTAGCAGCATCTCTATGGAGAAATATTTGTCTCAGAGGAATGTGGTGACATTCATTTTCTAGTGGGAAATCTAGAGGTATAAAAAGCTGGAGTGAAAATAAATGATCAAGGTTGCCTCTCTAGAGCCAAGAGCAGTCTTCCACATTTGGGATTTAATGTCAAAACATTTTGGAGACTTCCAAAACCTCCCTTTTCAGATCTGTTTCGTTAGCAAGAAATGGCTTCTCATCTGCATGGGAAAAGAATCCAGAAAAGAACGAATAGGAAGCATAGGAAACTATTAAAGTTAGGGAATTCTGAGAAATTTAAATGAAGATTCAGAATTTAGACTTATCTTCTAACGTGAACTCTTTTTATCTCGTCCCAAGAAACCCACGGAAGAGTGTCAACATTCATTTAGAATGCGTGTGAGTATGCTTTTTTCCCCAGCTCTCACTAGTCTGATTTTAGTCAACAAATCTTTGTATACAGAAAAAGAGGTTAATTTTAAAATAGGAGCTGGAATTTAAGAATCCTAAAGTGGTCCAATTCCAGGCTCTGCTGAGAATAATATTGATACAATCTGAGTCACAATTCTAGTGCCATCTCCTAATACAAATTAGTAAAGATTCCATGGTTAGCCCTGGGTACCTAAGCATTTTTTGCTGTTGGTCTGTTGGCCTCAGGAAATTCACTGTGGACTTAGTTGAAAAACAAAATGGAAAAGAGAGGAAGGATCACATTTGTGTCATAAGCAAATCCTTTATAAATCATCAAGAGACTGCAGAGATGGCCACAAAGAGATTTTGTTAAGGGTTTTATACAACTAAAATCAATTCATCCACTTTATCTGTTTTGAGCATACTAGGGATGCAACTGGAGATGTCACTAAGAGTTAGAGCTGCTCAGAGACCTTTAAGGTGTCAATTGACCATATTTTTAGGTGCAGAAATGTTATATGGACACACCACAGGTTCACCA